TAGTCTGGACCGGTCCACGAACGAATACTGCATCCGTTTTGGGCGGTCACCATTGGAGATTCCCTAAGTACTTTTAGTTCTCTAGTCATCATTGTCTTGCCCTAAAACTCTCAACCCTGAAAATTGGAGTAGCATTGTTTAATTTGACTATTCAACTCCCCTTCCTCTAGTCCTTAAACCTCGATCCCGACAGGAGATTATACATCTTAAGATCTCTCATTTTTTGTTAGGCCCGCAATGATGTTTTGGTCTATTTGATCATGTAGAATGATGCCATGTTTAACAGAAAGGAAGTTCATTCTTGTATGCAGGTGATACTCTCGTGTACCAATAGGTCATAGTCATATGCTTTATTGCAGAAGGTGCAACATAGAGAGTCGATGGATCTTGCCCAAAGAAGCTCGATTGAACCACTAGGGAGTTTATGTCATGGTTGTGATAGTGTGCCAGTGGCGGGCTTATGGATGATTGGAGTAATCTTGTTTGGAATGTTCATATTTGTTGGTCCATGTTTCCTTTATCTTTCCCTCCTTTTGGCAACAAGATAAAAGTTTGATATATGCAGAGGCTGGGGAGTCCCCCCTTTTCGAAAAAAAAATCTTTGTAATGAGGCAATGTAATAAGGTTGTCCATATGCATCTTAGGATGCAGGGCGTTTAGCAAAAGCTAAGATTATCAAAAAGTTTCTACATGGGGAAGAACAATACATATATTTCTTGAAATGAAGAATGGAACAAAATGTGGCGAAGCCTACTGACAAAGTTGGACAATCTAGCTACATATAGTATGTTTTAGAGGTTTTCCAGTGGTCGATATTTTTCTACAATATTTCTAGATAGATGTTTATAGGAATGATTTGTAGTTTCATGCATCAGATATCCCAATCTTAGGTAGCTTGGGTCACACTTGAGAAAAGAAAACATGCATGAAGTTACAAGCAATCGGGCCATGGATGAGTCATGTGATAGCCATGAGGGGATATTTAGAAGAGAAATTGAGTGAATATCTATATAGTCATGTGATAGCCATAGTTTACTTATATACAACTAATGATATTGGCATATGATAGCCACGAAGGAGCATTTAGTGATTCTTTGTTTTCATTAACTACTCTACCATATGCCAATATCATTAGTTGTATATCATATTCGGCCCATCCACTAGCCATTATAAATTTCTGGCCCGAGCATTTCTGTTGATGGCCATGAAGGCCTAGATAGATTGAAGCTGCAAAGATGTGACACACTTACAATTTGGCATCATTCAATCATTCATGCGACCAAGAAGCATTAGGAGAAATGTGCATCATTCACCTGACCAAGACCCTAACCTACTAAATTAGTGAATAAAGATGGTGATCCCCTAATTTGTTTGTGTTACAAACTTTGATTAGAGATTTAGATTCGTTAGGAGTCACTAACTTACGACAACTACTAACAGGTAGGTGTTAACTGTTCAGCTGAATGATTAGCCACTTCAGTTAATTAGTGCAGGGAAATGACTATATATACATCTTTTGCTAGCTTGATTGCTATTTTTCTGAAAAGGAGGAATACCTCCGGGTTATGCACCGATTGGTCATGTAGTCATTTTTATTGCAGAGTTTGACACATTATGAAATAAAAGAAAAAATTCCACTCAAACGCGGATAATCAGAGACCATATGTTGCTAGATCATCATTCAAGCTTGATTGCTATTTGTTTCACCACTTTCTTTTGTTTGGTAAATATATGTGTGGCATGGAAAAGCTACTATGCATACTTAGTTACATACCTTTGCCTCAGATGTTGGATTCAACACTCCGCAGTGCTCCTCTTTTGCCTCCTGGTACCGCTCTAGTATTGCCTCCATTCCGCTGATGAAGACAAAAGAATAGAAACACATCAAAATTATGAGGATGAAATTGAGTAACTGGTAGAGTATTGGGAGGTTGCAGGAACAAATTGTCTAACTAACATACCTAGAGCTCGCGAAGTCGTAGAGGCGACCCGTGCTAGAGAAGACGATGAGCGCGAGATCAGCGTCGCAGAGGATGGCAAGCTCCCGGGCCTTCTTCATCAGCCCTCCGCGGCGCTTGGAGAAGGTCACCTGACGGTTCGTTGTGTTGTCAATCCTCTCAATCGCAATCTTCCCCCTCCCCATCTTCTTCTTCTTCTTCTTCTTCTTCTTCTTCTTCTTCTTCTTCCTCCTCCTCCTCCTCCTCCTCCTCCTCCTCTCTAGATCTCTCCTGCCGGCTGGCCGGCCGATAGACGAAAGTAATTAAGAACCGATCGAAATGGAGCTAAGCTAGAGGCTGCTAATTGTTTCTTCTGGGTGACAATCGACAAGTCTAATCTAGCTAGTTGAAGCTTTCCCCCCAGCTTCTACCTGATCCAGCTAGCTATTTTTGTATTGTTGGGCTTGCTTGTAATGGTCTGCAAACCAAAAGGGATCGAGAGGCCCCATGTGATGACAACACTAACCTAGGCTTAAACAACTCACTAAATTAGGTTAATGAATGGCCCACTACATACTATTTTCCTCGGTGGCTACGACAAGGACGTCTATAATATATAATATTGCTGCGACTGTTCATAGTTTAAATTTTGAGTACGAGGATGGCCTATTGGCTTCGGACATGTTGCCGTAACCTGTGCCGTACAATATGGCGTCAGCTACCAAGCCAGCCTGTTTTTGTTCGAACCATTGAAATAGTCTGGCAGTCGCGTGGTACGTACCTATTCAAAGTTGTAGATTTGTTTCTAACTGAGGTTGGACCGTTGGAGTGGTAGAACCTGCTCCATTTCGTGTTAGGAGGGAAGTGGTTTCTGTTTTCTTCAAAACCGTGTGCTCATACCTCTTACACTTTTCAAAACCAAAGTAGTATGTGGGTGTACACTTTCCAAAAAAAACTGTGTGTCCATATCTTGCAATGTACTCCCTCCGTCCCAAATTAAGTGGCTCAACTTTGTACTAAGTTTAGTACAAAGTTAGTACAAAGTTAGTACAAAGTTGAGTCACTTATTTTGGGACGGAGGGAGTATATGTGAGTGGTACACTTTCTTGAGAACTGTGTGCTTATATCTAGGTAGAGCTATCCAATTGAATCTCGACACGTTATCATATAACTTGTGAGTGGTACATCTAATTTTTTTTTAAAGGTGTGTGCTCATACCCGCAAAATAAAATATAGTGGTGTGCTCATATCTTGGTGGAGCCATCAAATTGTATCTCGGCATGTTACAAGGTAACATGTGGGTAGTACACTTTCTTCATAACCATGTACTTATATCTTGGTACGACTGTCCAATTGTGTACTAACATGGTCGATATGAAAGGCGACAAACGGCATGATTTTTTCTCGACAATCAAGGTACGACCTTTGATGCCATTATCGCACGTCTGATGCACTAACGTGTAAGATTCCAAATCTTACAGATTAAGAAGTCATAGATCTACCACAACCAATAAACCCGGTTGCGCCTTTGGTACGACTGGGCCATGTTAGTAAAACCTCTATTTGGACTAAATACCTGGATTTCAGTTTCTTTTCAATCAATTTCTTGCTTATTGTGATTACAATATTGTTGTCTGAAGTTTGTATTTCAGATACCTCGGAAAAGTTTGTTGGTTGTGATTTTTAACAGATAATAATTGCAGCCGTACTTATTGAGGTGGTTGTGGCAGGATCATTGGCATTTGGGTGCTAAAGGTAACATCCAAGTTATAAAAGGTTAGCTAGTAGTACCATGTTGTTTAAGGTTGCTAAATTGATGACCACACATATGTACTAGCTAGCTTTCCACTTGGCTCAACTAAGAAAGGACAGTTTTAAGGTTAGTAAGTAAAGTGGCCACAAAGCACGATGCAAAAAATGTGCAGTCCACGTGAGTGACGGCGTTCCAATCTTGATTAGAGCCAGTAATGCACTAGATTAGAGTAAAGATGATTTCCTTCCAGATTTGGTGCTCTGGTCATGGCACCACTTGATCTTTAGTATGTAGTCCTTAATGATGCAACCACTCTGATCTGATCTGGTTTCGTTCTTTCTTTTTGCTCTTGCATCAGCTCAGTTGTACGTACCTTCAGGTGTTTTGGGATGAGTGGACAAAGCTGGAGGCACTGATTCTCCCTGGTGCTTTCTTGCTTCTCCAGTTAAATTAATTAATTAGAGCATCTTAATTTTCCCATGTCAAACTACTGGGAAACCGGTCTTTACTGAGTTCATTTGTATTTGCCGAGTTCTACTCCACGGGATCACGGCAAACAACCAGTTTGCCAAATTGCAGACTAGGCAAACACAAGAGCTCAGCAGAGATTCTAGTCTCCAGTTAGCTGATCAGTTATTTATTTATTTTGAAAAACAGAGGCAAAAGATTTGCCTCTGCACTTAAAAATACTTCAGGTTCTTCATGGGTATAAATCCAAAATTAAAGAATATACAAACATGGTGAAAACATTTTGAACAGGCTAGCTATAGATGATCAAGACAACTATATGCGGGAGTCCTATTCTAGAGGATGATCAGCCACACTTGAAGAGACACGGCCTAGACTCCTACATGAGAGAGTAGTGGAGAATTTTCTGCAATAGGTGAAAGCCTGGCGTAACAACTTAAGTGCACATATATATGACGAATCAATACCTAACACAAATATGTCACGTGCCTGCAAATGAAAAGCCTGTATTAATTAGCTTCATTTTATTGATTATTTGCACCATATCAAGACGATACAACTATAAAAAAAAGTTCAACTCCCAGCTTCTGCATTTTTGTGAAACTGTGAACTCAACTACCACAAAGCTGAAACCAATATCAAGCTGCCATGTTATATATAATTGGCAGAACTAGTGCTCTTTAATACTTTTCATATATATAGTCTGACTTGGAGGATAATATGTTGCACCCTTAGAAGAGCCATTCAGTACACAAAGCTGAAACCAATATCAAGCTGCACCATTAATCTCAACCCCCACAAAGATTTTGAATACATAGTCAAAGCTACTTAGTTACCTTGTTCTATAATTCCAAGTTTTGTTCATGGATAAGCTTTATTTCCCTGGAGAGTCGAATATTCTCTTGATGAAAGATGCATCCCTAGAAGGTTGCTTTGTTGAATTATCACGAACGAAATGTAACTTTTTGTAATATATATTGATGTAAACTTTACACGATAATGGCAACAAAGTAAAATTACACACGCATGTGATAGAAATATTGGCGAACCTTCTCGTTGAGTTGTAGAATATGGTTGGTGGAACTTTGTTCCTAAAACAGGCATCAGGAAACATACAGTTATTATCATTCCTATAAAACAGTGTTAGTGTCATGATTAGGGAAGAGGGTACAATGATTAGCATAAATAAGAACAAACTGAGCGAGCTCGGCTACCTTCTTTTCTCTAATACGGTGTAAGCTCTTCTCCAGCTGATTTTCCATTAAACATAAGTCTTTGACTCCTAAGTTTAATAATCTCTCCCCCATTAGCTTCCTGAAAGTCAAACAATAATAGGATGACTTGAATGCATTTTCTAGTCTTTACTCAAACTTATTTAAATTATGTAGGTATCAATGGAAGGAACTGAATTAAAAACTTATACCTATGATGTTCTTGAAGCATCTGCATTTCCTGCTGTAATTTCTGGACTTCCCCTTGCCAAAACTAGAAAGAAAAATACATCTTTTCTATTATCATAAACTTTAAGTTACTGTAAACTGTTACAAACGAGTGTGACAACTTTTGTCCAAAATAAAATAAGAAGTGGTACTATTATGGGTATTTTTCGAATACGCTCTTTTTAGACTTATGGGTAGTGCTAAAAGTATATGCATACAGTAAGAATCAAGCCTCTCTAATTTGACTATCAATATATACATTTATTGGGTCACACATGAGCATAACATCATTACGTTTTTTCTGAAAGTTTCTTTTTATAATTATGTAATTTTACCAACTTATTTACAATAGAATTGGCCGTCAAAGTTGCATCATCCAAACTGCATGTCTACATGTAAAAACATCATGTATTTTGGAGCGTTAAGAGTAAAAAAAGGTTACAAGGAATGAATGCATACCATGACTTGTGACACTGGATTCAGGAGCTGATGTTGCTCTTGTGAAGATTGGTAGTTTTGAATCATGGAAGGCATGGCCGTGCCCATGGTGGTGGCGGTGGTGGAGTTGGCATACTCGTAGAGGCGACAAGTGGAGGAGAAGACGATAACACCGACCTGGACATTACAGAGGATGGCCAGCTCACGTGCTTTCTTCAGTAGACCACCACGCCGCTTGGAGAAGGTGACCTGCCTTCTGCTCATGTTCTCAACCCTCCTAATCACAATCTTGCCCCTCACCATGATAGCTCTTCGATCTCCTTAATTAAGAATATATTTACCCAACTCCTTAATTATATATGTGCTAGTTTTTTTTGCGGGGGTAATTATCTGCTAGCTAGCCAGCTAGATCTTCGCTCCAGTGGTCCAATTAGTAGATGGTTGTGTGTGAGCAGGACTGTGAATGAACTGAATTTATCATGCAACTTGACTAAATTTATCATGCAACTTGCTGCCATCTCTGGAACCTGTGAAAGGGCAACAATATTTTTCTTGCAAATGGGTGTTTCCTGTGTGCACCGTACGAGGTATTGGAATCCGGTAAACGTCACGCCTGGTATTAGCTTTCACAAGTTAGCTCCCGATCCGCACAAAAATTGTAGCTGATTCGATTCGATTTGATTCCTGCCCATGTGCAAGTAGCACCACTTTGTCATCAGCTGTACAAATTCCTTAAAGAAATCACAAGTTATATATGTCGGGCAACTCCATCCATTTCAAAACGTAAGGCCCATTTTGAGCCATTAAGCATTAAGATTTTGACCAATAATTAATCCGTCAATATTGACAGCAATGTAGTGTTCTATAAAGAAATTACAAGTTCTACATATGAAGTAATACCTTAACTTGCGGTGGATTTGTTTGTTGAGATTAGAGCATGTACAACCGGACCTCTCAAACCTGCCTCATTCGCCCGGGCAGGCCGTCCGGTCGCTGCCCGGTCACGATTTTTTGACCCAGACGGGCCTCCCAAATGCCCAGACTGACCTGCACCCCCCATATCCAGCCCAAATATGGGGCGGATATGAGGCCGCCCGGGCGCGCCCGGCACATCAGACCCGACAACCCCACCCAGCCCAAATTGCACCAAATCCCCCCCCCAAACTATCGAATCCATTTGCTCTCTCCTCTGTTCTTCCTCCTCCGCGTCGTCCGGCTGACAGCTCTGCCACCGCGCCTGCTCCGCAGCCGTTCCCAGGCTCTCTGTCACTAGCTCCGGAAGAGCGCTCCCGTCCTCGCCGCGGGGGGACTTTGTCGTCGGCCCGGACGCCACCGTGGTATGTCCGATAACTCTCCGGCTCCGCCTTGCGCTTGATGTGTTTGACACATTGACCAACCGGAATTGTTGTGATTTTGTTAGGTAAATGATGGATTCCGATGCTTCGTCGGATGAGGAGTATGGACTGAGGAGCTTGACCAAATGATTCAAGATGAGTTCTTCGATTCGTCGGATTCGGACGAAGAAGTGGACATGATCATGCTCATGAGCATGCAAGAGGGAATGGACCGGCAAGTGGAGCATATTCTCAACTTCAAGGGCTCAATCAATGGGAGAAGAGTGATCAACCGGGACAGAGTGTCCGGAGCAAAGCCACTGCACAATTACTACTTTACTCCCACACCTGCTTTCCCAGATGATCCATGGTTTCGTCGCCGTTTTCGCATGCGGAAACCATTGTTTTTGCGCATTGTGGAGGGAGTGGAGGCACACGACGACTACTTCAAGCTAAGAAGGGATTGCTGCGGCCAACTCTCTTTCCAAGCAAAAGTGCACGGCTTCTCTGAGGATGCTTGCACTTGGTACTGCTGCAGACGTCGTTGGTGAGATGGTCAGGATGGGGGAGAGCACGTGCCTCAAGACTACTGTCAAATTTGCTCACGCCATGGTTGAGGTGTTTGGACCGGAGTATCTCAGAGAACCAAATGCGCGGGACACGGAGAAGTTGTTGGCTATTGGAGAGGCAAGGGGGTTTCTAGGAATGCTCGGATCAATTGATTGCATGCATTGGCAATGGAAAAACTGCATCAAAGGTCTGCAGGGAATGTATCAAGGTCACACCAGAGAGGCCACCATCATACTAGAAGCGGTGGCATCACATGACTCATGGATTTGACATGCTTTCTTTGGAATGCCCGGTTCTCACAACGACATCAACGTTCTTCAACAAACTCCGGTGTTCAGGAGGCTTTGTAATGGGGAATCACCGCCGTGCAACTACACTGTCAATGGCCGGGACTACAACATGGGGTACTATCTTGTCGGTGGTATCTATCCTCAGTAGGCGACGTGCATGTATTTGCATGGATTTAAGAGTATGGATCTAAGATATATGGATGCACGGAAGAAAATATGAGGGTCCGTGCGAACGCGTCCGCGGGCGTTTGAGGGGCCGGATTTGTCAGGTCCGGCTGTAGATGCTCTTAGGTGTCAGAGCTGCCCCTAGCAAACACATCAAATTCTCACGACTTCATAGAGCGCAAGCTAACGACTCGAGATAATTTCGCCACTTGATTATTTCTGCCCCAAAATTAATAAACACACTTATATAAATAACAAGTGATAAGGACAGAAGTTTAGACAAAAATAAAACAACCGAGTGCCTGAAAACACTACATATTAGGATATATGTGCATCTCGTTCTTCTGACTGAACATAATCATAGATATATTATAGGTAGGGTCACAAGTATTGAGAAACTTTACTGGTAGAGTACGGATTGATAATTCCTAGTGGAGAATATCTTTAGTCATATGATGGATTGAAAAATCCTTCCACACATGCGTGATGAGCACATCAGAGGTAGCTCAAAGAGGAAGCCACCTTGATCCACCCAGGCAGGGTAGGGGCTGCACACATTCATCTGTAAGGTATATAGAATATCCATTGCCAAATTATCATTTGATCATACATAAAAAAAAAACAGTGTCCTGGATAGGTCCAAACCTATTCGTATTAGCCCTACCAGGCAATTGAAACAACGGAAATAATATCAAGAATGGATTGCACTTAAAAAAGGCTGCATAATTTCGAGCGGAGGTACTAAGCAGATAGGTCCGTTGGTGCCCGCATGTGAACCAAGGGCGATTAGGGGTAAAATTCATGAATATTTAGACTTAAACATGCACCATGAATAAATTGGTCAATAGTGTAATAGTTTTGATTAATTTACGGTGGTCACATCTCCGGGAAAGATAGAAAACTTACAAATATGTCCCAAACTACAATCAAGTCAAGGCACAAGTACGGCGGTAAGCTCACATATTATTTTTCAGGTTTTGCACCTTGATTATATATGAGAAAAGTATAATTTTCGTCCCTCAACTCTTGGCAGAGTCTAGATTTGGTCCCTCAACTCTGTAATCGGACAACTTGCATCCTGAACTACTAAAACCGGACAAGGTTCAGTCTCTGGACACGGTTTTGACCGGTTTTGGTGCTGACTTTTGCCGGTTTTGTCCGTGTTTTGAGTCAAATTCGCGTACTTTCTTCAAATCCGTTTATTTTATTCAGGTCTGCATACCATTTTCAAGTTCAAGTGTTTTTTTAAATCCGCGTGCTTTCTATAAAAGTTCATGAATTTGAAAAGGTACATGGATTTGAAAGCAATACACGAACATGAAAAAAGTACGCGGATTTGAGAAAAATATGCAAACTAGAAAAAAGTATGCGAATTTGGAAAATTATGTGAACTTGAAAAAGTACATGGATTTGAAAATAGTGCGGATTTCAAAAAGGTATGTGAATTTCAAATTTTTACGCAAAGGTGAAAAGGTACAGAGATTTGGAAAAGGTACATGAATTTCAAAAGATTCACGATTTGAAAGATATACACGTATTTAAGTCAGCACCGGTCAAAACCAGGGTGAGCCAGCCCTAAAATCGCTCAAAACCGAGACCAGGGATGAATCTTGTTCGGTTTCAGTAGTTGGGAGTGCAAGTTTTCCGGTTTCGAAGATGAAGAACCAAATTTAGACTTCATCAAAAGTTGAGGGACGAAAAGTATACTTTGATAAAGGTGGATCCCTATGATCAGTATACAAGATCATAATTGTTTTTGGCAGCTTAATTTACAGGTGGTATAGTTTACCTGATATTATTTTTTCTTAATTTGCCTTTTGGGGCTAATAGATTCTTGTGCATTCCTTCAAGTGGTTTGATCTGATGATAATCAATTGGACGAATATTCGCTAACCACACAACCCTAACAGAATTTCAATTGCACTGTATCGAAGGTAGGGATTAACCAGACAACCTCATCCTGGCTAGCAAAATTCATGAACTTTTAGTGAAAGTGAACATGCATCATGAATAAATTGGTCAATAGAGTATATAATTTTAATTAGTTTATGATTGCCAAGTCTGCATGTAAAATATAAACTTAGTAAATATAGTACAATACGTCCCAAACTTCAGATCCAAAGTCAAGATACAGGTCTGGTGATAGGCCCACATATTGTCTCCCAGGTTTCACACTGATGTGGAGAGCTGAAACATGGTATCGATCTTGTTGGCTAAACGATGTACAGGATTACCAAAAAATTAAAAAGATAACACCATGCATTGGTTGAGTTGGGAGCTGCTTACTAAATCAAAGGAGGGAGGTCTGGGGCTCTGGGCTTCCGTGACATCTATGGTTTCAATATGGCCATGTTAGCCCGGCAAGCTTGGCGTATGCTGGAATCGCCCAACTCCTTGTGTGCCCAGGTCCTTAAAGCAAGGTATTTCCCAAACACATCAGTTCTTGCAGCAGAAAGCACACCCAGGCATTTCCTACACATGGAGTATTCTGAAGGGAGTGTCTTTGCTGAAAGAGGATTAATTTTCTGAATAGGAGATGGCACTTCAGTTAACATTTGGAACGATCCATGGCTTGCTCGGGATGGGATTCAGACTCTAGTAATGCCAAGAGGACAGTGTGTCTTCTCACCAGAGTCTGCGAACTTGTTGACCCTGATATTGAAACCTGGGATGAGGATCTGTATTCTGGTGAGAGCAATCTTCAGGGAAGAGGATGTTAAGTTAATTCTAGCTACTCCTGTCAGGGACGATTTTCAGGATTCCTTGAGTGAATTGCAGAAAACCACCACATTTAGGGCTTCGTTTGCGGAAAACCACCGGGTCACTAATTTTTTGCAAAGATCACCGCGGATTTGGTAAACTTGTTGCAAATAGCACTAATCAGGTGATTTGCTGCGTTTGATCACTTTCTGACAAGTGAGGCCGGGCTGTAAGGTGCTGACTT